TATACGATGGAGTTTTACTCAGCAGTAAAGAAAGATGAAATCATGAAATTTGCAGGTAAATGGATGGAACAAGAAACTGTTATACTAAGTGAAATAACACAGACTCAGAAACAAAAAAACAAAACAAAAACTGTGCATGTCCTTCCTCATATGTGGATCCTAGCACCAAATCTGGATTAAGTGATTATGTATCCAGATATAACTACAGGAACCAGGATAATGGAAAGGAACCAGGGAGGTAAAGGAAAAGAAAGAATCTGAAAGAGAAGAACAGTAGGAAACAGGTGTTAATAAGGGAGATATGGATAAAAATGGGGTTATTTTAAGGGGGAAGGAAGGTTATACAAGGAACCTAGGGGATAAAGGGAAAGAAAGCACTCAAGAGAGGTGAGACCATCGGAAAAAGGTATTATTAAGGGAGAAATGGGAAAAACAGGGGCACCTTAAATGGGGAAACCATGGGGGAAGGGTTAGGCAATGCGAGAGATAAATAATGCCTAGCTAGTTTTAAAAAACCAGAGGGAACCATATTAGTCCAAGAACCTGCTGATAAATTACACATACAACTAGATCAAAGAATATATGTCTAGGCAAGGTTTATCTGATCACATTTGGTCTTTGCCCAAGCCTTATCTACATGGCACACAGTAATTAAAAGTACCAGACTGGTGAAACTAACCTTCTTGGATGTTTAACAGCCACACTATGAGGCCTATACTAATTTGGTCAAAGAGATATAAAGGACATTTTTTGCTCCTTTCCCTCCTAGTTCCAGGGAACTATGAGCATCTCTCAAAATGTCCTGTAACTGTGATAAGTCATCTGTCCTCTTGATCAAGGAGGCCATGGAGACCCCACCAGATAGACTTGAACCTGTGTCTAGTCTACAAAGAGGAGGGTCAACACAGAGGAAACATTTCCTCCATGCTTCCAAGCAAAGCTGGCTATGGTTGAGCAGGACCTTTGCTTATCTTCACACAGATGGAACTGGTAAAAGAAAGGAGCCAGGGGCTCCTCCCAAGCCCATGGGACCCCTGAGGAACAGATCCTCAAAGGATCTTAAGAGTAAAAATAAATTGGTTTATCTGGGCCAACTGTAGGGTCTTAAAACACCAAAAAGGAAAGTATATATAACTTTTTAAGAATTCATATGTATAGCTAAAGGCTACATAACAAGAAACAATGCCAGACAGGTGATACCTTCCTTTGAGTTACTGGCCAGGGTGGCCCAAAAGACTCCCAGAGAATAACCCAGCATAAATCTGGGAAAATGAACAGCAGACCCCAATCTTATCTAAAGGAATGTTGACAACTGATTGCTGGTAAACAATGAACAACTGATCTTATTAAAACAAGGATCTCTAGATAGACTGACTAGATTCAGAATATGGACAAGCACCATGGAATGGCTGGGGGCGCCGACAACACAGTGGACAGTAACAGGGATGACAGAGTATATGGGCTCCAGTCAGGGTTTGGGGGGGAGGCTATGGGAGGGTAACATTTGGGAAGTGGGTATATAGATGAATAAGATTGTTTGGGATATTCTGTATGATATACACAGACAAAAAAAATTCAAGAAAAAAAAGACATATTTGAGGAGGAAGTATAAAGATTTACTTCATATTAATTAGCAGAGGTGATAAACATTACCATTGAACTCTACCTGATGACTTTATATCCATACTCAGGTGCAAAGGATCTGAGTATAACCGACTGTGACTAGTAATAATCAGTTACATACACATTAAACACACATGTGCAAACATCTAAGCCTTAGTAGCATTAAAAATGTAGGAAAAAGCATATTTTAAAATGAATTGGAGATCTTCTTTAAAGGTTAAAAACTCATTCAATTTTATGTCTTACAGAGTTTATACTGAGTTCAATATTGTATAACTGTATTAATTCAACTGTGAACCTAAAAATTTATAGATACTTTTGAAAGAGATGTATCCTTGCTCTGGAAATTGTTACTGAACATGTTAAAGGAGTAATGAAAAACAATTAAAATAAGGTAACACAGTACTAGAATGACAAGTAATATGGAAGGATAAAAGTCTCACATAAAATTTGCTTTACCAAGATTAGGGAAGTAACTCAGTGGTAGGGAGGTAGAGTGCTTGCCTAGCATGCATTAAGTCTTGGGCTCAATTACTAGCACCTCAAAGAAAATGTGTATTTCATTGCTGTTCAAGAATATATATAGAATTTGAGTGTGGAGCCTTCCTTTCTCAAAAACTGGAAGAATATAGAGTTAGTTTCATACCTCTGGCTTCTACACATAATTTATAATGTAATCATAATGTTATTTCAGGGTTGGGGATTTAGCTCAGTGGTAGAGTGCTTGCCTAACAAGCATAAGGTCCTGGGTTTGGTCCTCAGTTTGGGAAAAAAAAAAAAAAAAAAAAGACAAAATCACAATGTTATTTCATGCTTAATTATTTATTGTACTCCATTACATTTATTTTTACCACAACTTTCTTTTTTCAGCTCTAGAGACTGAACATAGGGCCTCACACATGCCAGGCAAACACTCCAATATATTGGAGGACAACATATTCTCCAATATATTCTCAACACATCTTAATTGTTTGTTATAATGAGAGAAACCATAGGATTTTAATTATACTTCTAAAATTACAATAAGGAATTTTATAAGGAAAAGATAAAATTAAGATTTCATAAAATGTTACTCATTCTTTCATAACTCACCAGAAAATTTTATTGAAGAAAAAGGAATGTCTAAAAAAACACATACACACTAAAGGGGGAAAAAAAAGAAGTATGCAAAGTATAGCTATTGCCAATTAGCACCTTAAACTAATTCCATGGAAAAAATCTGATGAAAAGGATCAAAAAGAGAGATAAATTAGAGACGAATGTGAAGAGGAAACATTTGAAGACGGCAAAGAGAAAAATGGGCTTCTAAGGAATGAGGAAAGACAAAAAAATATGCTTTGGAGTTTTGTGAAAAGTATGATTCCATTTAAATTTATGCTATGATTTATTTAAAGCAAGTGGATGAAATTATCACAACCATATGTTAGCTAAAAGTTATCACATGTTCCTTTAAATAGTATGCTCAGTCTAAACATAAAAATTAGCCACAATAATCAAGCTGAGCTGAAGAGCTACACATTTGCCATAATGTAATCAAAGGCCAACCTGCACTTGACAAAATTATTACATCCAGGAAGCAAAATTTTTTCTATGTAAACAATGGAGAAAACATCTACAAGTGTAGTTATGACAAAGGACAAAATTACACACAGGATGAATTTATGGATCATCACAGTCCAACCTGTTCGCATTGGCTTGTTTAGACACCGCCTTCAATCTTTTCAAAGTGTTTCTAATAGCATCAGCATCAGGGAAATGGTGGTGACCTCCAGCCCCATTAGGAAATCCTGGACGAACTCCAGGGGGAAGTCCTCTGTAGATAAATATGCACAGTGACTTTCATTACTTTCTCTGAAGCAAAGCACAGGTAACTAGTGCAGACACAGTCATACCTTTCTGGGAGCCCCCGGCTGTAGATATGCCCTTTCCATCTTGCTTCATTTTCTTCTGCTCTCAGCTGCTGCATCTGATCAAAAATGGCATGGTAATGTTCATACTGCCCTCGAGAAGAGAAAGGTGATGGCGTCACGGCCCCTCCACTGCCAAAAAAAGGAGCCTGAGGATTAAACAAAGAGCTCTCACATGTTAATCTTATGGGGCCTTGAGGCCTGAGCTGTCCTGCAAAGAAAAAGTAAAATTCAATGCTTAACAATAAAGAATAACAATGTGACAAACAAAAACACTAAAATTTCACTAAACTCATATCAATATGCAAAAACCAGATCCTCATTATGAAGTTTTGAAACATATTTATATTGTGCATTTCATAGGACCCAATTCTAAAAGTTTAGGTATATATCGTTTAGATATAAAGCAGAACTCAATTATATAATAAAAATTATATTTAGCAAAAACATTAGCACATGACTTTTGATGAACTCCAAATCTATTCACCAAGTAGAAATGATGGGATAAACATTATTGAAGCATATTCTGTATGTACATAAAGGAGGAAAAATAATATTATCTTAATATTTATCAAAAACAGACAAAAATGCAAAAGTAAAAGCACATTCCAATTACGTGGTAAGTGAATGAATGAATGAGTGAACAAATGGAGCAGGTACACTCTGAAGTTGTTGAGTGTTAAGGATATTCACAAACCAGAAAAAAAAATGACAAGTAAAAAAATCTCTATTTTTTTAAAGTCTTGATGAAAGAAATTAAGCTAGTCTTGATAACAATGTAAAACAAACAAAAAAAGAAGAACAAAAACTATAAAACCAGACTAGAAAATCAAAGCATTAAAATAAAACTGAGTAATGTACTTTTTTTTTTTTTGGTGCTGTGGATGGGAGGAGGAAGTAACTATGATGGTAAACACAGATGGAAGACAAACAGAGCATTAAACATAACGGGAGTCCGTGCCATGGGCGTGGGCAGAACGCATTCATGAAATAAACACAATTTTTTAGACGATCACTAAGTCAATACTACCCATAAGCAGATATGAGACAAAAGAGTAGTAGTAGAGGGCTACTTCATGGCACCAAGGGAGACTAGAAGAAAAGGAACCACTGAAAAAGGAAATGCCGAGTGGGCATGTGGACTTAATGCAGAAAGGAGCAAAGGATAGGGCAAAAACGGAAGACCTCAAGTATAGAGTCAACAACCCACAGTAAAGAGAGATGGCAGAAAAGGTTAAACTAAGAAAACATGGAATGCCATAAACATTATGGAAGAGGAAATCAATAATCTCAAATGCAGAGGTAAATAGAACTTTAAACAAGACAGGCAGAATTAAAGCTGACTGCTAATCTTTAAAAAGGACCAAGAATAGAATCAAATAAAAGAACTAGGGAAATCCAATGAGCAGAAATTTGTTTTAAGATCTTGATAAAGTACTTTATACAAAATGTTATGAGAAAGCCTGATGTTTTAAAGATCAGTTCAGGCTAAATATTAATAAAAGATATACAAACAACAAAAAGTTGGTAGAAATAGGAAAGACAAATAATTAAGCAGGAAACTCCATCGAGGTCTTCTCATACATCCTCAAAATATGTACTTTAAGTCAAGAATCAGAATTCTGTTAAAAGGTGGCCACATCTTTTATGAAGGCAATCACTTAAGTAAATGCTTAGCTTGGAGTGTTCTGTTTCTCACTAGTTATACAAATGCAGGTAAACATCTCTGAAGATACCTATAGTCAAAAGGTCATCTCCTAAAATTAATCTTTACTGAGGTATGGCTTATATACAATAAAATTCACTAATTATAAGCATAAGCAGATGATTTTTTAAAACCATCTCAGGGTAGCCGGGCGTGGTGGCACATGCCTTTAATCCCAGCACTCAGGAGGCAGAGGCAGGCGGAGCTCTGTGAGTTCAAGGCCAGCCTGGTCTACATAGTGAGTTCCAGGACAGCTGGGGCTACAGGGAGACCCTGTCTCAAAAAGACCAAAAAAAAAAACCCATCTCAGGGGATCCGACAGCCTCTTCTGACCTCCATGGGCATTGCACAACATGGGTGCACTTACCTACATGCAGGCAATACATGCATACACATAAAATAAAAATAAATAAAATTTAAAAAAATTTATTTTTTGTGTTTGGCAATACATGCATACACATAAAATAAAAACAATAAATAAAATTTTAAAAAATTTATTTTTTGTGTTTACACACACACACACACACACACACACACACACACACATGCTTCTGTGTGCTGTGATGCACCGGTGGAGATCAGAGGACAACCCATTGAGTTAGTTTATTCTTCCACCATGTGTATCCTGGGGACTGAACTTGGGTCATTAGACCTAGCAGCAAGTATATTTCCCACTGAGCTACCTCTCCAGCCCTGTGCTGAGGAATACTGATAAATGTACATACTCAGTATTTGCTGCCACAACCACAATCATCCCAGGAAGGCTCCCTCCATTACTTTGCAGTCAATGCCCAAATCACTGATCTGGTTTTTTTTTGTCACTACTGTGTGCATTTGCCTTTTCTGAAAATGCAGGTAAATGGAATCATAATATGTGCTCCTTTGTCCAGTTTCCTTAATGTAGTATATTTCTGAGATTGATTCATGCTATTGCACATACAAACTATTAATTTTTATTAATGAAGATTATTACAATGCATCTTCAAACTAGAAGATATACCTCCTACATATTATGATGGCCAGATAATCAAAACTACATATATGGAACATATTTTTCCAAAAACACATCTGTAAGAGACACACTGAAAAGAAGGAAACCAACCAGCCAGGCATGGCGGCTCATCTCTGTAATCCCAGCATTTGAGAGGTAAAGGCAGAAGGATTAAGATTTATTTCCTTCAATCTTGGTCTTCCTTGCCCCTGCTACCTAGATAGTGAGTTCAAGGCCAGTCTGGGCTATATGGGACCCAGTCTCAGACAAAACCAAACCAAATAAAAAAAAGTAAACAAAACAAAACCACCCCAAAACAAAACAAGCCAGATGAAGTAAAGATATCTCAGATCTTGCAAATACTAAATAAGGTCAGATATTTATACTATGACTAACAATGCCTGTTTAGAAGTATATAAACATAGTATTAATTTTGAATTATTTTTCTTATTTTTCAGGTTTCACTCATCTGTACTTTGGAAATTTCTTTGATTCACATTATACTGAAGCTCCATGTCCTTAGCTACTATGCCGAAACCAAAAAGTCTAACATGGAAAACATTTCATACTTAGGAATAGGCATGGACACTGACTGAATCTGGTTCATATCATGGAAACTGGTTTTATAAATCCTCCACAAAAGCATTACAGAAATCTATAAAGTAAAAGGACATAGTATCTAACAAAATCTATCATGTTATCAAACAAGAACAATAAAACTTATCACCTTACAAGAGCCACAGGGCCACAGTACGCCTTCTGGGAACAGCAGGAGCTCAGCTGGCTGAGGTTAAGGAGCAGGAAATAACCATCAAAACCTCAATACTAACAGTGAATATGGCATAGATATTGGATAAGATTCCTGAGCTTACAATTCAGTTATGTACACAGTAAGCTAATTCTATTATGGACCAAGTTCCAAGTTATTTCTTATTAGCTAAGTAGTAAGTTCTACTTCGATAAAGCTGAATTACTAAAAATACTATATAATACTGAATTGGACAAAAATATTCTTATTCAATAATTAATATGACATGTGAAAAACATCTTGAGAAACAAAGATAATATAAATTGAGGACAGATTATATATGTCTAGATGAATCAAAACACATATTTATCCAAATCATAACTTTTAGGAAAGAAACAAAAATGGTTGGGGCTGGAGAGATAACTAAGCGGTTAAGAACACTGTTCTTGCAGAAGACCTGGCTTCGAATCCCAGCACCCACATGGCAGCTAACAACTGTCTGTAACTCCAGGTCCAGGGGATCCAACAGTCTCTTCTGTCCTCCGTGGGCACACAGGTGCATTTACCTACATGTAGGCATAACACTCACATACATAAAATAAAAATAATAAAATATTTTAAAAAAAGAATGGTAAACAATTCATTTCGATAAATATCTAAGGTCTACTTCAACAGGTGATTAATGGGGGCACAAGTTGGGTAAATTTACAGTATAAAGATATGCTGAGTGACAGCAAGTTCAATGTCAAAAGTAACAACTATAACACAAATGATTAACAGTGCATTCATTTTCTACTGCTGTGTAACAAATTATCATAAACTAAGTAGCTTAATACAGTATGTATTATCTTATAATTTCCCTAACTTAAGAGTATATTTGGTTCGGTCCCTGGCTTAGGATCTCAGAAGGGAGAAATCAAAGTGTGAGCCAGGGTGACATTCTCATCTGAGGCTCAGGATATCCCAGCTCACTGGTTCTTGGCAGAGTTCATTTCTCTGTGGTTCTATGAATAAGGTCAGTTTTCTCCTTAGTTATTGGCTAGAGATCACTGTTAGAATCCAGAAGTCACCCACATTTTCTTGCAATACCATGTTTACTATATTTCAGGTCAGCAGAGGTAAATTTCCCTGGACTCTTCCCTTTGCAGTCTGCCATGAGGGAGTTTGTTTTGTCAGTGTGATAACAGGAATGACCATAAGAGGGAGCTACCATATCACCACACCTACAAATTCTACTCAGAACTCAACAGGAAGGAATACAAGGTGCATACACTAGGCATGGGGAATCTTGGAGACTTTTAGCATTCAGCTCACCAGCAGATAAAGATATATACAGGATGGTACTTTTTTTTTTTTTGGTGTTTTTGAGACACGGTCTTCCTGTAGCTGCCCTGGAACTCACTATGTAGACCAGGCCGGCCTTGAACTCACAGAGATCTGCCTGCCTTTGCCTCCCGAATGCCGGGATTAAAGGCATACACCACCACGCCCAGCTTGGGATGGTACTTTTTAAAAATAATCTTATGTGTATGAGTGTATTGCCTGCAGGTATGTGAGTGTACCCATGTTGTGCAATGCTGTGGAGGTTAGAAGAGGGCATTGGAGCCCCTGGAACTGGAGTTAGGATGGTTCATAGCTGCCATGTGGGTGCTGGGAATCAAAACCGGGTCTTCTGCAAGAACAGCCAGTGCTCTTAACCTCTGAGCCATCTCTCCAGTCCCAGGATGGTATTTTTTATAACAAAGGCAACAAAGAAAGCTCAAACCGGTAAGGCAAAGATGGGTAAAGAAATTACTACCTTAAAAAAAAAAAAAAAAAAAGAAAGAGAAGAAATTGCTACCTTAGTGACACACACCTTCAATCCCAGCACTAGGGAAACAGAGGCAGGCAGATCTCTGTGAGATCAAATTCAGCCTGGTCTACGTAGTGAATTCCAGGCCAGGAGGAAACCATATTTCAAAAAACCAAAAAAAAACAGAAAAACAAAAACAAAACACAGAAATTACTATCTGAGCCCTAGTAGATATGCTCCAGGAATTGAAAATAAAACTTAGAAAAGTTAAGTAAACAGCCCAAAATTACATAGTCTGAATTTAACCAAAGGGACTGTTTGAACTAAAGAATTTAGGTAATGGGCTGGAGAGATGGCTCAGCAATTAAGAACACTGACTATTCTTGCAGAAGACCCGGGTTCGAATTGAGAGACCTGAGTGACTCCATCTTGGATGAAACCTCCATAGGACTGACCCAGCCCTGGGACCTGTTCCAAGAAAAACCACAATACTTGGAACGGATAGAGAACAACTCCCCTGCCAATGGTCAATTAACCAGGGATAGGAAAGTACTAAAAGTCCAGATGTCTTTTCAGATTTCCTGAAGCCAACAGTTCATGGTTTGGCACTGGGCTGCAACCAATGAGATGCTTGCCAGGCTGGAGACCCCCTACTCCCCTACTTGCTGACCTTGCTGAAATAAACCTATAAAAACCTCTGTCTCCCAAAGCAAGGGGTCTCACATCTGAGATCTGCTGAGTCGGTGACAGAGTGGGCCCAAGCTTAAGCTTGTAACAATAAAAGAACCCTTGTGTATTTGCATCGGTAGGCTCCTTGGTGGTCTTTGGGGTCTTGCAAACTGGGCACAACAGAATCCCAACACCCACATGGCAGCTAACAACTGTCCGTAACTCCAGTTCCAGAGGATCCGACAACCTCTTCTGTCCTCTGCAGGCATTGCACAACACAGGTGTATCTACCTACATGCAGGCAACACATACATACATATAAAATAAAAATAATAAATAAAAATTTACAAAAAAAAAAGAATCTAGGTAAACGGTTATTTAGGCAAAGATTATCTAAGTTAGTGAATGAAAGCAGAAGAGAGGGTGGAGAAGAGAGGGAAAGCTATCAAGAAAAGTGCAAATGTAAAAAGAATAAGAATCAGCAAGCTACCTACAGTAAAGAAATTACAAACTTGTTTTGTTCTATGTAAACAGGGCAGAGAGTGTGGTATGAATGGACAAGACATCCTGGAGGCCAGATAAAGAAGGGTCTTCTGAGAACTTCATTTTCTAAGTTCCATAAAAAATTCTAATGAAGATGTTTGATTTTGCATTTGATTTGTAAGACTCCTTTGAAAGCAACTGTGTATCTCATCCTTCACATTTTATCAAATACATGTGGGAAAACTAAGAAATCAAAATAAATACTGAAGAATTCTAGATGAGAATTATCTGTACACCAAGAGGAAAAGCAGCTAGTCACACCTATTTTAAAGAACAGGATGAAACCAGAGGAAAAGCAACTGTAGTCTAACTATACTGACATTCAATGCCTACCTTGACTTCACCACTTCCACCAGCCCGTAGGACATTTCTCCATCCTTGTTCTCTGGCCTTGTTTATTCTCTCCAACTTTTAGGGAAGAGAAACAAATGAAATAGCATTTCAACCACATATAAAATACATGGACTAAACAGCAATAAAATGAAAATCACTATACTTCCTTTAAAAAATTTACATGCATAGGGAAAGGAATAAATGTACCACAGAAAACAGATGGTCTTCTTACCCGCTGCTTTTCTTGCCTTTTTACTTGTTCAGCCTTCATGAAACTAATCTGTAACAATTTCGAAGACATATTTCTCAGAACTCAAAATTCTTATCTACAATCTTGAAAACGAAGAAAAACAAGAGCAAAAAACTACCTGATCCTTTTGTTTCTTTTCTTTTTCAACAAATTCTGACCTTCTCTTTTTTGGTGCTTCCTTAAATAAAAAAGAGAACATCTTGATCAGTAATAATTTCCATTTTTTCTATTTTCATCAAGAAAGTGAGCATATCAACAGGAGTATGCCCGGGGTGGTGAGAAAGAAAAGAATGAATGTTGAGAGAAGCTCTCAGGCATCTGAGAAACAAGGTGGACAGGTTGCCGGTTTCAGAGTATAAGGAAGTTTCTTCAGGATTTTTGCTTGCTGCTTTAAAAACTGTTTTGTAAGGACGAGTGTGGTGGCACAGGCCTTATACCCAGCACTTTGGAAGCAAAGGCAGGTGGATCTCCATTGAGTTCAAGACCAGCCAGGGCTATACAAGGAGTCCGTGTCAAAAAAAAAAAAGATTTTTATACATGTCTTTATACCTCAAACATTTTCTTCCTTTCTTCTCCAGGATTCATTTTCTTTATTGGAGTGTGATGGGCCTGGACAAAAAGTAAAACTGCAAGTTAGGTAAAGATTTTAAGGCATTAATTTGGAAACTCCAAATTTATGGAAATTTAAAGGGGAGCCACTTCTGCCATGACTCTTTCAAAATATATTACCTTTGAAAATAAGCACAGGCCGGGCATGGTGGTGCACACCTTCAATCCCAGCACTTGGGAGGCAGAGGCAGGCGGATCTCTGTGAGTTCAAGGCCAGCCTGGTCTACATAGTGAGTTTCAGGACAGCTGGGGCTACAGGGAGACCCTGTCTCAAAAAGACCAAAAAAAAAAGCACTGTACTCTTCAGTATGCCTTTTACTGAGTAAGTGGAGTACTACAAAGAAACTGCAAGGTTCTTCCCTTGCTATCAGCTACTTTTGTCCTCATACACAAATGCTAATTTTAAAAAGCATACCATTTGAAATGTATTCTTTGAGCATTTCATACATGCATACATTTTGATCATATGCATACCCCTCCAACTCCTCTTAGATCTACCCCAGTACAACCCCTCTCAACTTTTTAAAAACTAATCCATTAAGTCCAATTAGTACTGCCCACATGCCCATGGATGGAGGGGGCATCCACAGGAATATGGTCAACCTACCATTAGACACACCCCTGAGGTTAAGGCCTCATCCCACAATGGATGCTAATTTTAACTGTTCTACTACTAACGCACACATTTTTCTTAAAAAATAAATCAAACAACATATGTTGACTACGTAAAATTCAGGCAAGACAGCGAATTTTTCCTGCCCGGAACTAACGCAGAACTCCACAGAACTTCCACATGAGCCACAGTCACATAGATCTCTGTAAGTCTGTCCACTTTCCTGAAAGTCTAATTTCTGCTTTTCTTCTTCATGGCTTTTGTTACTAAACATGCTTTCTTTAGGCTTTGGGCTGCCCTAGCATCTTGTATTTCTTTACTTTTTCTCTAAAGCTTCCTTTTCCCAGCCATGTGGCTGCTAGTCAGTCACATGTCTGACCTCCCATGCAGGCTCTAAACCTGCATGGCTTCATGGCTTTCTTTCCTTCTTCCCACCATTCACCTCCTCAAGGAAGCTGCCAAGATTACCAGCTCATGGGTCCTGAGGATTTTTCTTTAAGATTCTAATAAAATTGTAAAAGCTTCAAAAAAATAAAATAAAATTCAGGCAAGACTAAAAATTGATAACTCACTTCACTCTCTACATGAGGTAACCAGTGTTGTTTGTTTGGAGACAGGTCTCACCATGTAGCTCCAGCAGGCCTGGAACTGGTTACATAGACCATCCCAGACTGGCCTGCATGTCACAGTGATCTCACAGGAATTAAAGGCATGCACCACCACAGCTGGCTTACATGTTGATATTTTTATTCTTTCAGACATTTTAATACACTTAAATACATAGTTATGTACTTATAATTTGTTTTATGATTTTATATATTATTAGAAAGGAAAGTATTTTTAATAACAATGTGCCTTGACAATTCTACATTATGATAAATTAGTAAGGCAACATTGTAGAGTTGAGTTATTTAACCTACTGTGGGGATAAAAACTAGGTTGGTGTTAAGCCTCTCCTACTCCATACACTATAAGGAACTTTCTTATATATACATTCTTATGTCATATGTAAGTCTTTCAGAAAAACTTTTAAATGGAACTGTAGAGTAACAACATAATTTAAACACTGAGAAATTCTGCCCTCTCCAAAGGCTGTACAAATTTATATTCCTCCAAAGAATATAGAAAGCCCATATTCTCCATTACTCTAGAGTCCAGCCTTGGAAGACAAAAGAAAAATGAGGAGGAACCCAAGAGAGGGATGCTTTTGGAAGCCTTTGTCAAGAAATTCCAATGGAATCTCATATGAATATTTGAAAATTGCCCTGTTCTGACTTTTTTCTAGTTCCCTGTCTAGAACTTGTAATGCTAATTACTCTTGCCTTTACTTCTCCTTCACATCTCCTATTCACCATTCTTTTCCCCTTAGAGCTAAAAGTTATGAGATTTGGGAGTCTTTTAGATAGACCCACTGAAGGGGTACTCCAATTGCCTCACCCTGTGTCCCTGTTCAGGATGGAAGAAGCCAGAGTAGTCTGCATCCCGATTCCCTATTGGCAATTTGAGTAACCTCTTCAGAGGATGGTGTCATAAGAGTAGGAGGTAGAAACTGGCTAGGCAGTTAGGGTAAAAAGACCCCAAAGAAAAGTAACCAGTTTCTTGGCTAAAACTCACAATGTTCTTAGGCCTCTTAGCACCCTACTCCATTCCAAAGCTCAAAAATATTTGGGAGCTTTTACCTAATCCTTGAAAGATTTTAGGGTTACCTCTTCAGAAGGGGGAATGGTAGAGTAGACAAAACCCCATTAAAAAATATATAAGTAAATCAAAGTAGAAGAAAGAGTACATGAAGTTATCAGAAAACGTGATGGGGAGATATGGGAGGAGGAGGAGTTGGAGGGGAGGGACTGGGCATGTATTTGATAAAAACACCTTATGTGCATGTATGAAATTCTCAAATTATTTTTTTAAAAAAGCCCAGATTCTCGCTTGAATGTTACCAATCTCTCTTCAATTTCTTTTTAATTTAATTCAATTATTTTTATTTTATATGTATGAGTGTTTTGCATGCATTTGTGAAAGTGCATCATGTATATGCATTGCCTGCTGAGGTCAGAAGGCGGCACTGGTTATCCTGGAACTGGAGGTATAGACAGTTGTTAGTCACCTGTGGGTACTGGGAACCAAGCCTGGGTCCTCTGTAAGAGCAGCCAGTGCTCTTAACCACTGAGCCATCTCTCCAGCCCCACAATTTCTGCTTCCTGAAAAGGCTAACGTTTTTCCAGTTAGAAATGTACATTTATTCTTTCACATATTAATTGTTAACGTATGCTTGGAGTTTAATTTTAGGAGCTCTTTGTATATCATGGGAAATAAAACTTTATTATAGATGTTTAAAATATTTCCCCTTTTATTTTTAATTCCTATTTATTCTTTTATTGCACAAAAGTTTGTAATTTAAATTCAGTTAAAACTACCAATGCTTTCCTTTATGACATAGGTCAATATTATATGACTAAGACATTTTATTTTTACCATATTGTGTTTATTAAGTATTCTATTTTGACAAGTTCCACAGGTTAACTCACTGAAGCCACTAGCACCAGCCTCAAAATTGGAGGACCATAATATCAAACAGTTTAAAAATATCAATGTTGCTGTCATAGTGGTGGACCATCTACAATCTCAGCTCTCTAGAGAATCACAAGTTCAAGGGCACTCTGGGCTACTCAATGAGAGACTGAAGAAAAAAAGGGGAGGAGACTAACATGACAGCTTTATATAATCAACTAGCTTAAATGGATGATGCAATAGCACAGGACAAGAGTACGTTCTTTTCTTGTCTATCTAAAAATTTATTTATTAGTGTGTGTGTGATATGTGTGGGCTAATGTGTACCATGGAGTGTGTGCGGAGGTAAGAGGACAACTCTGGAGGAGGTTCTCTCTTTCCACCTTTCCATGAGTTCCAGGATTGAACTCGGGTTGTGAGGCTTGCACCACAAGCCCTTTCATCTGCTGAGCCACCTCTCCAGCCCGAGAAGAGAATGTCTAAGACAACTCTCTTGGATAAGTTACATGAAAGCAAAGATTATATTCTGTGATCTTTTATATTGCCTTAAATATAGAATATTCAAATATTTGTGAAATAAAAATACAAGTTGCTCCTCTGGGATCAAACAGGTATTTTCAGAAAATGATTTCTACATTGAAGAGAAAAAAAAGAAGAATTCTACTAAGAAAACTTTTATTTTGTTACTCAAAAAACAAGCAAAAAAAATTTTTTTTTCTTAAGCCAAAATACTGAAATATGTTCATGGAGCTCCCTCTGGTGGCTTAAAGCAAGAAGGTTTTGTTTTAACAGAGCCCTTAGGGGGGGGAAAAAAAATCACCTGTGATTGTTACAGGAATTGGAGCAGTCTTACCACATGCTGAGCAAAAGTATGCATATTTATTTGAATAAAACATAGTATCATTAAGTGACTGTGGTTTTCCTTATAAGTTTTTCATTTTCAAGTTTGAATATTTTTCCCAGTGATTAAGAAATAATGCAATTTATTTTGCCAGAAAATATAGAATGTCATTCGTCATTAAAGAATGCAGTTTGGGGGAACTGTAACTTTAATCATCATTCCAGATGAACTTTTACTCGAGTCTCCTAATGTTTTATAGAAAGAGTCCAACCCTTTTAAGAGGAAAGTCACTTTTACTAATGAGAGTAAAATGCCATGACCCTCACATAAATGCATTTAATTTTGAAAATGTAATTATGAGAAGTTAATGAGAAGAAAGTCAATTTAATTGCTTAACTTTCTTTTTTCCTCTCTTGGTGTCCTTAAGGAAGCTGATTTTGATATTGATGACATTCAGTAGAAACTAATTACAGCAACCTTACACTGTTACCTTCCTAAAAATCATTACTTTTTACTTTTTTATTTTTTTAAATTTTTTAAAAAATTATTTAATAACCATATAATTAGAAGAAGCATTTA